GGGGAGTTTCTCATCCCTGGGGGTAAGGGCGGCCCTGAGCTTGCCCACAAGGGATGAGCTCTGGGCAGAGGGGGCTTCCAGGCCTGCAGGGGACGCTCAAGAGGGGAGGTCTGCTTCGGAAGGAAACCATCAGTAGAGGCTCCATCTGAGACGTCACTGGATCCTCCTAAGCAACAAAGTCAAGATATAGTCCCCTTTTAGAGATGAAGGGACTGAGGCTCAGAGAGGCCAAGTAACTCACCTAAGAACACACAGCAAGTGAGAGGCAGAGCCTGGACTCACGCTAGTGCTGCCTGTCTGAGTAGCAACCTGAACTCCTTGGCCTACACCTTCCCTGCTGCTCCTAAGCTCACTGTCCTTTCTCTAGGGGCCTCTGCCCCCTGACTCTGCTCTGGGCATCTCGCCTGCAGGCTCTGGGGGCACCAGGACTTGGATCTAAGTCGCGGTAACCCCATGCTACCATGATCCCAGGCACTCACCTGAGAAAAACAGACTCCTCAGAGTGCCAATGTCAGCTTCCCTGGGCCGATGTTTGTGCCCAGGCTGAGGCGGGACCCCCTTTGGGCCAAGCCGTCACCACCAGAGGGCGCCGAGCAGGTGAGGGAGAGGGGAGGCCCCTTTTCTGGCTTCTGGAGAAAGAGAGAGAGGCTCTTGAGCCTGGGAAGTGTCCTTGCTAGAGTCTGGGGAGCCCCTGTCCCCTTCCCGTCTCTCCCAGCTGAGGTCTGGCTGACCCTTCCTGCCCAGTTCCTGCCTGTTCAGTCAGGTTTCCTGGGGCGTGGGTGTCCGGAAGCCAGGGTCTCCTTGCCGACCTCACGCCGTTAGTCCCCTCCTGCCCCGGGCACAGAGCTGAGGCAGTGCTAAGCACCAGAATCGTCACCTCTCTCACCTTCTGAGCCTCTTCACAAGCCGGGTGCGAGTGCGGCCCAGGAGACCACCAGATGGGCCCAGACAGCGGGAAGGAAGCGCCTGGGGCCACATAACCTGCCAGTGGGCCCCAGTGGGTGGGGAAGGTGGTGGGGGCAGGGATCAAATTCCTGTCTGGGCAGGATTGAGAGGGTGGGGGCCGGGAGGAAGCTCCCCAGGCTCCTTCCCACCTACAGCCCAGCCCCTTCAGTCCCCAACTTCATCTTCCCTCTGGACCCCCTGATGGAGGGGAGCACACGCCCAAGGCCCCCCAGCTGCACAGCCAGGTCTCTGTGGAGAGCCCATCACCCTTCCTCCCCCACCCCAGGGCCCGCCTGCCTCCTTCCCCAAGCTTAGCCCCTTGGCTGTGACCACTGAGGGCCTGGCCCAGGTCCCAGGCACCACACCACAGCACAGCGGCCAGCCTCGCCGGGCCAGAGCTCTGGACAGTCCCAGTCTGTCTGGCAGGGCTGGTTCTCCAGGATTGGCTGCAGCTGCCTCCGCCTTTGGGAGGAGGGAGCCACGAGGGGAGGCCCAAGGTCACCCTCCTTTCCTTCCCAGCTTCCCCATTCGACCTTTGTCCCTCCTGCTTCACCTTGAGGAGGGAGGAGGAGGAGGCTGGATGCCCAGCCAGCAGAGGGCAGAAGAGCCCGGGGTCCAGAAAGGCCTTTTGGGCTCCGGACATTTATTCACGCAACAAGTATTGAGCGCCTACTGTATGCCAGGCACCGAACAAGGTGCAGACAATCCCGCCCTCACGGAGCTCACGGCCTAGCAGGGAAACAGACAAGAAACACACACTCACACAGACAATGCAAATCGATGTCCGGGAGCAGCATGCAGAGGCGCTGCGCGGGACTGGCCTGGCCAGGGCAGGCTCCCAAGAGGATCCGAGGTGGGAAGTGTCATCCGGGCCAGGAGAGGGAGGCAGGCAGAGGGCAGAGGGCAAGGCTTTGCAGGAGCCTGTGCAAAGCCTCAGTTTTCCTCATCAGTAAAACACAGGAAACCATTGGACCCCAAGTGTAGAGTTGCCACGAGGCAGCAGCCCCAGAACGGTGCTCCCCAAAAAGCCAGAGCCATTCTGCAGTCTTCACTGTGGAAGAAAGGGAAGCGCGTCTGCGAACGTGGCTGGGAGGGCATTACCGGGAGACAGGCTGCTCTGCAGAGCACTGGGGCCTCTGGGAGCGAGGGACCCCAGCTCTCTGGCCATGCCACAGGGCTGCCTGGGGCAGGAGGGGAGGAGGGGCTGGTCCGCAGGCTGCCTCTCCCTCTCTCCCCTGCCTGTCCCCAGCTCCTGACCACGTGGCACCTCTGCACCCCAGGCCTGGGGGCTTGGGGAGCCAGGGACAGGTGGGTGGGCTTTGGGGTACTGCTGAGCTCACCTCCTATTGAGCAGCCCCGCTCGGCCCCACCCGACAGCCCCAGGGCGGCAGGGAGGGGGTGCTGTCCCTTTAAGAGCCTTCAGGCTGCTGGGAGCAGATGGCCAGGCCGGCCGGGGCCCCTTGTCCTTTGTGTGGCTTTGCACAAAAGAGGGGGCCAGCTGGGGAGGGGGCGGCTGCAGCAGGTGGGAGGGGTGGGGCCTTGCCTCTCTCCCTCCTAACCCTGCACCACTACCCCTTGGGGAGGGGGCTGCTCAGTGGGAACTTGCTTCCTCTCTGGACACTGTGGCCCCCTCAGTTGCCCCCAAACTCAGGACCTCACTCTTGGTGTCTTACCTCTTAGGCAGAAGCCTCAGCACACCAGGGCTTCGGGACACCCCCCCCCCCAACACACATACACTCTCTCTCTCTCACACACACACACACACACACACACACACACACACAAAGGAATCAAGCTCCTCTCCCTGCCCCCACTTCCAGAGCCGAATCTTCTGGCCCCGAGCATCTGGCTCTGGGGAAAAGGGAGAGCAGTCAGGGTCTTACGATGGGGGCAGGCAGGGGCTGGGTGTTTGGTAGGCAGGGAAGCCAGGGGCTGGGGAGCCTTGCAGGACAGGCTGGGAATCCTGGGTCAGCTCCTCAGGCCAGAGGCCAGAAATAAGCATGAAGCTGAGGCTGGGGGAGGGGCAGGGCGGCTAGGCCCTGGCCCCAAGGTATGAGTGTGGAAAAGGGGGGTGGTGGTGGCAAGAGAGGCCCAGCCTCTTGGGAGCCTGCGGGCAGAGCAACATGGAGGACTCCATCCTGGGAGAGAGCGGTGGTGCAGCGATGGCTGCCTGCCAGACAGGAGGCGACAGAGAGGGGAACCTCTAAGGGCTAGAGTTGCTAGGAGGGTGGGGGGAATGGCACCCTGCCGCTCAAGAGGGGTCACCTTGGAGCAGACCCCCTTAGCTCAAACCTGCCCTTGGCCCATTCGTTCTCCTCCTTTGTCTAGACCTCCCCACCTCAGGGCTTGGTGCCCAATCCTCGTTTTACGAGGAGGAAAAAGGCCCCGGAGCCCTGGCCCGAGGTGTGCTGGGCAACGTGGCCGCGGGCTGGGTGGCCTGAGGGTGGCCCCGTGCGGCCCGACAGCGCCGCATCTGGGTGGGGTCCGGCTAGACTTGGCCTGCGGCACGCAGGAGCCCCCAGAAACAGGCTGCCCCGCCGGGTCGCGGCCCGACCGCAGCCCCCAGCTGGCTGGCCACAGGCAGCGGGTGGGGGCGGGGATCCCTGGCTGGGCCCAGGGCTGCTTCTAAATTTAGGAATCTGATTACAGAGCGGCCGGGAAGGGAAAGGGAGAAGGGAGACGCGCGCGCAGGCTCGGCTCCGTCTGGGCACAGCGGGGTGTGCCCGGTGGAGGTGTGTCCCCGAGGCTCCGGCCCCGGGCGAGGAGGGGCAGCGCGCGGGGGCTTCGGCCTGTGTGCACGGCAGCACGTGCCTGGGGCGGCGGGGACAGGCACGGGCGCAGCTCGGGCTCAGAGCCGCCGCCGGTGTGTGCGCTGGCTCTTTGTGTGCCTGGCAGGGTGGCTGGGTCTGGCTTTGAAAGTCTCTGCCCACCCCCTCCCCCATCTCCGTCTGTGCGGCTCTACCCGCTTCCCTGTCTGTCACTCTGCCGGTGCGGGGGGGGGGTAGGATACTGCTCTCCAGCTGGGGTGACAGGGAACCCAGTAGGGAGGAGCCCTGGGTGGAGCCCTTTCCCTGCACCTTCGCCCCATCCCTCGCCCCTGCATCATTGTTTTGGGGTGCAGATTGCAGTAGTTAAAAAGGAATTGGGGTGACCCCTGGGGACCTACAGAGCCAACAGAAGCCAGGCTTTGGCCCGGTAGCTCTTGGAGGAATGCATTCCTCGCCCAGTCCGGCCTTCCATCCGCTCGGGCCCCCAAGGGCGCATGAAGGGGGGTCCCCCTGCGGAAGGGGGGGGGCGGGGAGTTCCTTGGCAGGAAGGGAGATGGAAGGAAAAGCTGGGCTCCACCCGGGAGGGCAGGCAGGCGGCCTCAGGGCCCCCAGGGCAGGCGGCAGTAACCGGAGCCCACTGATGTGTGGGGATGGGTGGGCGCGAGGGTGGGGCTGACCCCCAGCTACTCTTGGGGGGGGGCAGCGAGGTCTCCCCCAGGGGCATGTCTGGGAGTCTTGGTACGCCAGGGGGCTAGCAAAGGGAGCATTCCCTACCCGCGTGTTGACCCCACCCCCTGAGGTCTAGCCCCGGCCCAGGCCCCGCCCCCGGCCCTCCCTCCCACCCCAGGGCCAGATGTTCAGCTGGCGGAGGCATCGGCTGGGGGAGGGGTGCTGAGGCCGCAGCCGGCACTACTTCCCTGCCAGCAGCTTCATTGTGTGCGCGAGGAGCGGCGGCGGAGCGGGCCGGCCAGCCGCAGCCGGAGCGGCGGGGAGAGCGCGCCGGGGAGGGTGCG